CTGCGGGCGGCAAGACACAGGGCACGGCTGGTGAGAGGTGGCAGGAGCTCATCTCCCCCCCCTGCCACCCCTGCACTGCCATCCCTTACTTGTAGCCGACGAAGCGGGGCGCGTATCTCTGGATCTGTGTCTTGAACTCGGAGGGGCTCACGCTCTCGTTGGGGGATGAGGTCCAGAGCAGCTGCATCAGCTTTGCAAACTCTGTGGGCAGAGAGGCAGGTCAGTGGCACAGCTGGCCCTGGCCAGCCCTGGTGGCTTGGCATTGCTGTGCCCTCCAGGGGACAGCTCAGCACCCCCCACTCCCAGGTCCTGCCAGCCCGTCCCATCCCCTCTGGAGAGGGGACCCGATCCTGCCACTGTCTGTGTGCCTGCAGCACTGTGCCTCGCCCCAGAAGCACTGGCATCTGGGGTGGGAATCGCCCAGGACATGGGGGTGGCCCGGGAGAGGAGGAGGACAGACTGCAGGGCTGTGCTGCAGGGAAGCCCTGCAGGGCAGGGAGCCAGGGGCCGGTGGCTGCCGGGTACCTGAGATGAGCGCGGTGCGCATGCGGCTGTTGTTGTTGAGGTCCCGCAGGTACTGGTTCTGCAGGCAGTAATCCCGCAGCTCCTTGGTGTTGCTCAGGCACTGCAGGATGGAGTTCATGAAGCACTGGGGGAGGCAGAAGAGAAAAAAACCATGGCAACGGGAGGCAGAGGAGGCAGGCGGTGGCAGGGGGACACCCCGGGCGGGTGGGCAGGGGAGAGGGATGAAGTAGTGCAGAGCGTGGGGACCCCTTCCTCAGGCAGCACTGCTGGGGTGCAGGGAGCTGCTGAGGTGAGAGTGTGGGTTGTGGGGGTGAGGAGAAGGGGACACCACCCTTCAGCTGTGCCTGCAGAAGAGCACGGTGTGAGCTGGGGTGGTGCAGCCGGGAGCCTGGGGAGGCACTCACCGTGTTGCCGAGGTTCCGCAGACCAGTCAGGCCCTGCACCACCTTGGAGCTCTGCAGAGAGAGGGAACAGGGCTTGAGACAGAGCCTGGCACAGGTGGGTTGTGCCTGTGGGCAGCCCACTGGGGCCACGGTGCCACTGGCATCCATGTAGAGGAGACCTTGGAGTGCAAGCGGAGGTCCCATCCTGTTGTGGGCATCAGGGACAGAGCCAGCACCACAGCTGCTCTCTGCACCAGTTGCATGCAGGATGGTGGCCAAGGACCCAGTGGGAAGCCATGGCTGGGCTGTCTCATCCTGCTTGCCTGGCTGTTGCTCCTCAGGACAAAGTTCTGCCAGCCTGACAACACTGCTGCCCCATGCCCTGTGTGACAGCAAAGCCAGCCACCCCTGCTCCCTCCCTTTGCCAGCCCTATGCCCTGGGAAGCCTGGGAGCAGCAGTGCCCCACGCCTGCCCCCGTGGCTTCAGGAGACACACAGTGCCCCACCACTACTTGCCTCATCCCTGCTGGGTGTCCCCCCTCCAGGACACCCTGCACAAGCACAGCCCAGACTTTGGCACGACTGCTTTTGCCGGGTAAAGTCCACCTGGGAAAGTGCAAGCCCAGCCCTGCAGTAGCAGCCAACCCCGGGGGACTGGGCTGTGTGCCCAGCAGTGCCCTCCCAACCACTCGCTGGCCTGTGCCTGTGCCATGGGGCTCTGCCAGGGAGCCAGGGGCTCCCTGAGCTGGGCAGGCTCACAGCAAGCAGACACGGGGACCACACGCTGGTGGGGATGAGTGGTGGGAGCCCAGGGGTCCTGCTCTCAGCTCTGCATGCAAGGCTGGCACAGAGGGTAGTGGTGGGGTGAACCTCTTCAGAGCCCTGCCCAGAGCAGGGGCCAACAGGGTCAGACTGTTAATCCTGCCTCCCAGTCTGAGCAGGTTTTAAAGACCCCCCAGGCAAACGCCCCAAGCCTGAGGAGGAGGAGAGGAGGGGAGGGGGCCCAGCAGCTCCAAAATAGCAGCAGCTGGTGTGTGTGTGGGAAGTGCTGAGCACCCAGCCCTGACAGCAGCCCAAAATAACCCAGATCCAGTTACACGTGCTCCTTAGCGACGGTGCAGGCATCACCCACCGCAGGGGGACCAGCACCAGCAGGGACATGTGGCCCCACTGCCCAACTGACCGGGTACCTCGTGTGCCACACGAGTGTCCCCAGAGCACAGGGGTGTCCCCAGCTGTGGCTGGCCACGGCACTCAGTGACAACAGGGGGTGGCAGTGCAGAAGTGTCAGGCAACCCCACCACTTATCCCGGGGTGAGGACCCCCCAGGCCAGGGTGCAGGCTCAGCTGGGCAAGGGGTGCCAGCAGGCTGGGGCAGGAGGGGTACCAGCAGCTCCTGGGAGCTGCCCCAATGTATCCCAGACATCCCCACCAGGATGCTGCTCCTGGGAACTGCCCCAATGTACCCCAGACATCCCCACCAGGATGCTGCTCGTCCAGTTATCCTTGCTGGGCAGCTCCCACCGTGTGCCAGGAGGGACCAGAGTGTCCCCCCAGCGTGGGTGCAAACATCCCCGTGGACCTGACATTCTCCCTCTCCCTGGTCATACCAGGGCTGCTCTCCCAGAGCCTGGAGCAACCTCAGGGGAGGACTGAGGCTGGGCTGGGGGGGGCCCGGGTGCTCCCATAACACAGCACAAGCACCATGTGCACTGAGATCCTATTTCCCCCTGCCGGTTTTCCCTCCCCTGGGTGACTCAACTCCAGCTAATCCCCCTCGCCCATCCAGGGCTTTATCTAGGACACGGCCCCGCTCAGAGGAAGGAGAGCTGGCTCACGCGGTGGCTGGGGAGTCCCCGGGGCTGCACTGCAGGAGGGGGACAGGGAACAGGAGAGGGGGAGAAGGGACAAGCTCGGCACCGTCCTGCC